AAAACGGGTTTTGCTACCAATCTCCATCATCGATTTACATGCAAGGTGCAGATCCTTTGCAGGGGGCATTCCGTGTCTTGGATACATCTGTTCTTTGTTTGAGGCGACGGTCTCCAGAGATTGGTTCTGATGTGGCGGGGAAGTCGGAACCAAGGATAATGGCTTGAGGTAAGGTTTGGATATTAATGCATCGGTTATCGAGGCGGACTTTCATTGGTAGATCTACACAGACTTGGATGTGTTCCGTTTGGATTAGAGATGCCATATCGGGTATCTAGTTAGGTTAATCAGCGTTGCCACATACTTTGTAGAAATAGTAATCTACCCATACAATATAGATATAATTTGTAGATATACTACTCCATACATAGTAATGTAAATATGTAACTAGAGTTCGTTAGTTAGAAGAAAGTGGGCATTATGTAATACTGCACAACGTAGGTAGTACCTGCGGTTGGAGGCGCGGAGAATTCCTGTGCACCTGCATACTGTATGTAGGTACAGTCTGTACGATACTCCCAATACTCCCAATATTCTCAATATTCTCAAGAATAATTCAAATTAGACGCGATCGGATACACTCGTGTTAAACCGAGTTAAAAGCAATTGTTTCCCTTCGGCCGGTGTAACAATGGGCACTATTCCCATGGTTGACGAGTCCCGATCCCCTGGGCCGAAGTGGTCGATGTCATGAAAACGGAGATCAGCAAAGCATAAATGCGACAGTATTAGTAGTACTCTTTTTTGCAATATACAGATCGCAGGGGTGTATTCAAGGAATGATGTTTCCCTCAATACGGAGCACCCAGACCTGCATCACCTCTGGGCAGCAATGCTCGTACCTGGTACTATGTAAATCCCTTGCTGGATGCCTGTCCCGAAGGAGAGATATGGGCAATGATGTACCGTATACGAGTATGGAGTTTGATAAACAATGATATCCCCCCAAATAATCATCATCATAACACTAAAAGTCAAAGGGTGGATAAGGGATCCGGATGGGTAGGAGATGGATGTCATCATACGCACGTAGCCGACGAATATACATTCGGAGTACGGAGTAGAAAGTTTTTATGTCAATGTTTCCCCGATGGCATCACCATTTTTTTTAAGAGGCAACTGAAGTAAATCTGGCTTTTAGATATCTAAAATGTTAAAAAAAAAGATAGATCTCAAGTTATATTATACATCAAAGCTGAAAGTAATGGATATAGAAAGAAAAACAAGGTGTCTCAGCTTGCTGCATCATCAGTGGCAAACGTTCCTTTTCTCCCCGAGACGCTAATGTGAGCATCCCTTACTAGCGTCATGTACAATACGATACACCGACTCTGATTGATCGTTATCCCGTCGATTGGGTCCCTGAGATCCACAAAAGGTGGAATCCAGTGGAGTCCAATGGACTTTAACTGGTCACTTCATATCTTTTTTTCTTTTTCTATTTCTAAACGGTTGCGCTAGGGAGCTGCTTTGGGTCTCGGTGTTTCCGACCGGAGGGCTCGGGTTAAGCCTTGTTATTTTTTCTTTTTCTTTTTCTTTTTCTTTTTTTTTTTGGTCAACACTACTCCGTAGTGGGCTGTTTTATAACACTGGATTGGATGTCGTGTGTGTAGATGCTTAGTTAGTTTACTTGCATATTTAGTTTGTCGGATACAAAGTAACCCTGAAAATTAATATATTTTGATCTATCAACAGCGGTGTGTGTTTCGGGTCTCCTAGCAACCAACAGGTGACAGATCGAATACATAATCTTTGTTTTGTACTGGACAACGTACATATCCCATGCAGAAGGAAGGCTCCAACTTCGACAAACCATTGTGCCGACATCCACCGTGCAACTACCAATCACTGGATCGCTAGGTCATATTATTATTCAAAGAATCGGGATGTGATTAGCGGAATCCGATGTATGCGGGATGAAGTAACCACTGGAGTTGTTTGGATAAATGGAGACGCCAAGGTTGATGGAGCACCAAAATTGGACCTAGTCGGGTCATAGAACACATGGCCAACTCCACCTAACTCTTCCGGTATGCACTAAAACCGAAGATAGAATGGTAGAACTATGGATTATCATACTAAGGCCTGAAAAGGAATGGGTTGATCTCCACCGCCTGGGAATTGTTCACTTTTTGCCTGTGCGTGTCGGAGTGTCGCATGCTGGATTGTTGTGGTTTGAACATGGCGGTGAGAAGGAGCCTATAGTATATTGAAGCTAATGTGAGATTATCTACTCAGTACGGAGTAAATAGTATACTTGGGTACTTCTTTTAAAGAAAGTACAGAGTGCATTCTCCATGTACCTGATGTACCTATGGAGTACGGAGTACATTCTTAAAAAGTAATAGAAAAAGGAAAAATAAAAACAAGCCCCAGTTCAACCAATCAACGTCACACTAATTCGGGAGGCTACCAAATTTAAATAAATACCATACCGTAAATTACCATTTCAATTTTTTTTTTCAATTTTCAATTTTCCACTTTTTTTTTTTCTCCCGCAGATTCCTCAGGCCCCCGTTGATAATTTGCCATCCAAACAGCTGGTCCTGTCGCATCTTGATGATCCCCCCCGTTTATCCTTCTCATCCCCCTTTCTACTAACAATCCCCCATATCTTAGAATCCTTTTTCTTCTTTATATTATTATTCTTACTTATTATTCTGTTTATTATTATATCCTTTTGCTTCTTTTCTATTATATCCTCATCTTCGTGTTTTACTCTCCTTTGATTTCTTGGTTCTTGATTCTTGTTTGTCTTCGCTCCGGTTACTTCCCTCACAATGCCGTACAACACTCGTCGCAAGTCACTATCCCTTCCATCCTTGGGCATTCAGCTCCCAAATTCCACTCGTCGTTCTCCCTCTATCTCAAAAGTGCATACCGATGAGCAACCCACAAAAAAAGTCAAGAGATCTCATGGTTCGACTTCATTATCACCCGAGCCATCCGACCCAAAAATGATTGCGCGCGCTGGCCGACATGGACTATTTGAGATTACACCGCCTCCCTCACCGATGGATGGAGTGCTCGCGCCCAAGATCGACACAGAAGGAATTAACGACGATATTGTTGTTGCTGTAATCAACCAACTCGAAAAGACGGGGAACCGCCCTCATCTCGTCAAAGAACTGGCCGCAGTCCTGGTCACACTAAATGTCAATGTCGCAAAGTACGTATCCCACTCGGGCTTTCTTTTGAAACGCAATCACTAACATGACTTTCCTATAGTTCCGCCAATCCCGCCGCGCTGCTTTCATCGCGGTTAGCTGCCTATATGAAGCGTCCTTGGACGGCCCTCGCGCCTTGTCCTATGGCCAAGGAGCTTATTTTAATTCACCCACGCAAAGTGTACTACTATCTTACTACGTTTCCCCATCAACCTATTCCTGAGACCGACGATCTGGTATCTGCCGTTGGTAGTAAGCACATCACACCCAGTGTTTCCAGTCTCGAGGATGAGGAAGACGCGATGGTGCGGGAACGTAGCCCTAGTCCCGAAGTGGACTTGTCTTCTCCCGACTTCGAAGAGCATGGCGATTTGAATACCTCTGCTAGCCATGGTTCTTCCGATCACTTCCCCAACGCTAGTAATTTGACGCGTCTCATGAACTCGCATCGTGCCGCTTCTCCGCCCCTGGAGGGTGATGAGAAGGAATTCACACAAACTGCTAGCGCTGTGCGTGAGCGTGCCTCCGAGGAAAAAGCCGAGTCGAGCCGTAGCCAGTCCATCCTTTCTGAGAGCCTGAGTGCCTCGGAGGACCGCGATATGAGCATTTCTGAATCGCCTGTGAATGGCGGTTCGATGTCTCCATCTATGCACGGTGACGGCATGTCTGAAGAAGAGTATAGTGACTACTTCTCGCACATGCCCATCGACCACATGGCTCAGGACCTGGATGAGGCTGCCGCGACTGCCCTGTTCGGCACCTCTCCCTCCCCCTCTCTCACCTCCATCGCATCGTCTGTCTCGTCTGGCACGAGCGCTTTGACAGATCTCGGTCTGGACGGTGAGGAGCTTGCCGGTGCTCCCGTTGCCCCCCAGATTAGCCTTCCCGAAGATCCCGATGCCGCTCCTGTTTCGACCCTCAAGCGCTCGCTTGACATGTTGAACAGCGGCCTTCCCGATGTTGATCTGAAGATGTCGGACCTGACGGAGTCGCACGAGAGGCTCACCCTTACCCCCCGGGCCATGAAATCGGAGCACGTCTTTGAATCCTGGAGAGAGTTGCAAAACCCTGAGATGGTGGAAGTTGATGAGCTCGACGAGATGTTTGGCGAATTTTAGTCCATTTCTCTCGGTTTATGTTACCTCTCTTCTCCCTCTCTCCACTCTTGGCTGGGCTGTGACCCGTCATTGTTCTCTTTACCTCTTTTTTTTACCTCGCTTGTACATGTCCATTGTCTTTCTCGGCGCACCCTCTTACTTTTTCTTTTTGCTAATGCCTATTTTCTCTTGTATATATACATATGTTTTGGTTTTTACTTACCCTGGATGGGTAGATTGGGAGGATATTCACGGCTGGAGGAATGGCTTTACCCAAAAGTGTCAAAAATAACTAGCGTTTCTTCCCATAAATTCATCTTTTCATCAGTTTTATCATTTTTATCATTTTTATCATTTCATCTTCCATTGTTAAAAAAAAGAAACCCGTTCCTGACTAATCAGTTCCCAATTAGGAAAGCGGGATGCCTATCCCCGAGCTTTGGTCCAAGGTTACGTATATTCCGCCACTGAGCGACTTCATTCTTCGATTTCTACAGTATTTTCACGTCCGAGGTACAAATTTATATTGCTGTCAATGGGTCTGAAATCTTCCTTGTAAATATATCTCATTTCGCAGCCTTGCATATGCAAACCCAGCCCTATCATTTGTCGCAACTTATCACCGCAACTTTGTACCACCTAGCGCCGCAGGACCGCAGAAGCGCAGAAGCGCAATTTCAAGGTTGAGATTTACCATCCAACCCTCTCCCGTTACGTACACAGGGCTTCTGCGACCATGACGGTCGAACAAGCGCATTCGTCAACGAACTATAACGGTGTTGTTCCTCAAAGCGAATCCACCCAACAACCGACACTAGACCTCGCCCCCGCCAGATTCCGCCCTTTTTCCGTCGCAGGCACAATGCCAACGATAGGCGCCAGAAATTCCAACACAGCCCCGATTCGGTCCAATAAAACACTTACTGCACAATCTAAAGTTGCTATTCCTCGCCAACGGGTCGCAACTGCCCAGCACTATAATAGACGAGTGCCTCGCGCTTGCGCATCCTGCAGGCAACGTAAGACGAAATGCAGTGGGGACACCCCGGTTTGTCGCCAATGTCGTGAGCTGAGAGCTACGTGTAACTACCCCGAGGGTTGGAAGGAGAGAACGAAAAAGTACGTCGATCTATGGCTATACATGCTTATTTCTTTTTAGACTATTCAATCGCGAGCAAGTATCCTAACTATTCGCGCATTACAGACAGGTTGAAAATTTATCCGAGAAAGCGCAAGAATATGAGAATCTGCTGAAGGAGTTGGGGGGCATGGTTGAGTTCAGTGTCGCGGAGCGGATCAGGAGCTTGCTGGACAAGGTTTGTTCTTTTATTCTTTTTGTCGAGATATCGGAGTGTCGCTAACACACCCAACCACACAGCATGGCCCGGAAGTGGATTATACGTCGCATAATTCCCAGTCTCAATCAGTAACCCCTCAGGATGACGTTCCAGAAAACGATGAACCATCCTCGCCTTCCTCTATTGGCTCTCTTGAGGCGATTGATCGAGTAGAAGAGGACATCAATCGATCAGAACATGCCAGAGCAACTGGTTATATGGGAAAAAACTCAGAAATAACCTGGATGCAACGGCTACAGAGAGAGGCAGATCAACGTTCTAAAGGTCTTCCGGGAAGTCTGGAGCCAGGCCAGGATCTAAAGACCGATAATGCACTATCTTTGCATGCGGTCAATTATCATCTTGATGACTTGGATATTTCCGTGCCCGGACCGGTACAACTGTATGCCATGCCTCCTCGAGACGTGGCGGATCATATGTTCGACGCTTATCTGACTACCGTGCATCCATTCTACCCCATCATCAACAAACCTCTTTTCTCGGCACAGTACCGGACATTCTTTGACAGCGCTGCTAGACCCGGTGACAAGTGGCTTGCTATATTGAATATGATATTCGCAATCGGGGCTAAACATGGCCATCTCATCGACGCACCATGGCGCGGGGACGAGAAAGACCACTTGGTATACCTGACCAGGGCTAGAATTCTGAGTATGAACGGCGATGTCTTGTTCAGCCATCCCGATCTCCAGCAAGTTCAGGTGGAGGGCTTGATTGCCTTCTATCTTCTGGCCTCTGATCAAATTAACAGGTGAGTTTCAGAGCCTCCTTTCATCCGAATTGAGCGGACAATAACACTTAAAACAGAGCGTGGAGAATCTCGGCTTTGGCAGTGAGGTCTGCAATCACACTTGGAATCAACATGAAAAGCAGTAGTCCAACCACACCTGATCTTTCGAAAGAAGCTCGTTACCGTGTCTGGTGGTGTCTTTATACATTTGAGCACATGCTCGGAATAATGACTGGTCGGCCAACTTGTATCCAAGACAAAGTGTGCACCTCGCCTTTCCCGATTCCATTTGAAGAAGAACAACTACAAGAGCCCGATGCCCTCGAAGTACTCACAGACACTACATTGCGAGACGAACGAATCAACAACATCATGGCAAGTGCGAGTATCAGACAAATGCCGTTCCACCCGGTAAATGGTAAGGATGCTGGTAACCACACTCGAGCACGAGACAATGAATGGATCAAAAACCTGCCTGCCAACTACGGGCTCTGTTATCTTTACTATTGCGATCTGTCAGTCGTCGTGCAAGAAATTGTCAATAAAGTCTATTCAGTAGACTGCGTGATGGTGCCGTGGGCACAAATCGAGGCCCGAATTGGTGAGCTCAAGTCCCGAACTGAGATATGGCAATCCAACCTTCCAACCGGGCTTGACTTCACACGCAAAGAGGATAATGGACCAGATATCCTTCGCTGCAAACTGACCTTAGCGCTACATTACTACAGTGCGCGGATCACACTCGGCCGTCCCTGTCTCTGCCGGCGTGACGCGCGCCAGGGCCCGCAGCCTTCTTTCAGTCACGAGATGGCAGTGGTAACTTTGGAATCCGCACGGCTCATGCTGGGTCTGATCCCGGATGAACCGGATGCTCTCCAGCTGTATCAGATTGCTCCATGGTGGTGCATCCTCCACTATCTTATGCAAGCGGCGACCGTTCTCCTCCTCGAGCTGTCTTTCGGCACCGTCCACATGCCAGAAGAAGAAAATAACTTCATCAACCTGTCTAAAAAAGCAATCCGCTGGCTTTTCGCAATGTCCGAGCAGAGCATTGCCTCGCGACGCGCCTGGCAGCTCTGTGACCTCAGTCTCCGCAAATTGGCCCAGGGTATGAAGTACGACGTCAGTGACATGCCTTCCTACCCATATACCCCAGAGCCTGCATCCACTATCAGCTCGGAACCGCCATCCGACCAGTCCAAGTCTCATGTCGCTGGCGACTACTGGAGTCCACAGCTAGAACATCCCCCGGTGTCTATTCCGATGGCACCGGCTGGTGAAGAACAGCACACATACCCGAGTGTCTCGACTGCGGATCTGATGGAATCGTTGACGGCCGAGGCCCAGGACTCGTTCTTTCCTTATGATCCCATCAGCGGGGAGTTTATGCGCTCTTTCTTTCCCCATTCAAATGAGAATGTGAACTGGGAAACTTGAATACACTCATCATCCCATACTAATAAATGACTTCATATGAAACTACAAAATACCATGCAAGAACACGACAAAGCATGCGGGTTTTTTTTTATTACCATCTTATTCTTTTCGGCTGGCTTTCCCATCTATCTGCCTTTAGCCCAGTTATCATATCCAGTCTGCTTTGCAAGTTCCCATCGCTAGCAGTATACCTAGGAACCCCCTATTAACCTGTTTATATCCCTATCCTTATCCTTTTCATTCCATCTTCCCGAGGTCTCCTTTCTATTTCTACCCATGTTTAGCTACCTTAACTTCTTCACTTCACTTCATGCTTATGTGATTGATGTGCTGCCCGTTTTCTCTCTCTCTCCATTTTATGAACCCCTTTCCGTTTGATCTACCACCGATATCTCTTTGCATTACAGATATGTTATAATGGTGCCTCGAAGGCGATATCCAGATGATATTTGCGTTGAAAGCACTCCGAGGATCCAGGCTGCGCCTAGATCCTGAGCTGGACTCACAACGGGAATTTTGTGTGCTTGGTATTGGTCTCTAGCTAGTGCTGGTGTTTATCGGCGTTGAACCACAAGACTATGACTTTTGATACCAAATTTATTCACATCTTGTTCTCAACATCTTCCCTTTAGTGTAACCAGCACATTATAGAAGGAATATCCAATCTGAAGAACCGTCTTATCTTAATTATACAGCCTTCTTCTAAATTGACCCACGGAGTGAGAAAAAAAAATGAATAAAATAGTATATACATTCGAGAATAGTTTTTTACTTTGAAAATAAAAATACATACAAGATAGGATCTATGAGAAAAGAAGTCTCATCCCAAATCCTAGATCTTGTGATTATCATAAGGCCACTTCGGCTCTGGCTCCGGTGCTGGCTCCGGCTTCGGCAAAGACTCCGCCAATTCCTTCGGCCAGTGAGATCTCATGAAAGGATCGGATCTGTTGTACTTGATCCGCATCCTAACAGGCCTGCGTGTGGGCGAAGAAAAGACCTTTCTGAGCTGCATGCGGCGCATGTGGCCAGGGATCTCGATGTCGACTTGGTCTTCCGGGAGACCGAATTTGAGGAAGGTTTCGAGACAGAAGTCTAGAATGGACTCGAGCTCTGTTTGTGGCATCTTGCCATACTTTAATTGGTAGGGGTATTCCTTGCGGGAGATGGATGGTATATATGGAATGGTGGGGTCGTAGACGAAGGAGGAAGAAGAGGTGTTGTGAGGATCGGTGGGTTTTGTTCGGGGTGTAATGGGACTGCGGGATTGTTCGTCCGTTGCTTTGTTCACGCATGCTGCATACTCTCGGACGGCACTTCGAGCGAGGATGCGGACGGTGTTGAGGTCTGCTATTGTGGCTTTGCTTCGGACATGGTTGACGTAATCTGCATCCCATCCTGGGGAGCCGTGTGAATTGGCCCGTTCGTCGCTGAACAGCAGCCGGGCAACACCGCCTGGAGATTGGAGCTGGCGCTTGGGGGATACCCAGTCGACACAGACTTTATCCCAGAGTTGCTTGCCGACGATAGCGCCCTGCGTTTCCACAACGGCTGCGAAGATCTCGTGGAAGGTGGTTGGGGGGATCAAAGTGGCCTTGTGGTGTCCGGTGATTTCCTTGGGTGCCTCCACTTGTTTGAGGATGTCCGGTAGAGGGCCTGGGATGAGGGAGAGCACACGGTGCATACGAGAAAGTGTTCGAAGCTGGAAGTTCCTGACCTTCTCACGAGTGTAATTAGCATGCCACTCGCCGCGGAAAAGACGGAGCAAGATATCCGTGGCCTGATCCAAGTCCTCTGTATCTGCCTCAGTCAAGGTACCGGCAGATGTCTTATATTTAACGGTGGCATCGAGCCGAATTACCGCGCTTGCCAGTACACCGATATTGATGTAACCCCAAGATTTGGCTCGGTGCTCAGTCAGGAAGTTGAGCATCAGCACCACGCGCTTCCAATCTTTTCGTGCGATACTGAAGTTGATCAATGATTTAATAGTGTTCACAGAAAGAGGAATCGCGAGCGACTCAATGACACGCTCGCCGAGCTCGACATTAGCGGTGGCAGCCGCAAATCGAAGAATAGATGGCGCTAGGGCCTGGTTTCTATACGCACTTTGAGGGATGGCAGGCCCATCGATGTCATTCTCCAGGAGTAGTTGATGGCCAAAATCAAACGCGTGGGTTGTAGTCGCCACGTCAAGGAGATTGGCAAAAGTGGCGCAAGACAACTGCGGGATAGACGATTGGGAGATATCTTGAGGCTCAAAAGATTTGAAATCAAACAAAAGAGAAGCTTCTTCATCGCTAGCTTGGCTCATCCGCTCAAAAAAGTTTTGGATGTGCTGTGCCTTGCTTGCATCGGCAATATTTTGGAGCCAAGCATACTCGTGGAAAAGGCGTCCGCTTTGCTTGTCCCGAGCATAATAATTGAGATTGAATTCGATCAGGCCAGTCATGGCGGCCGATTCATCATAGAATTGCGCCCGCGTTTTCCCATCCAACACTTGTGCTAGACTCAACTCATTCCCTTCCCATGGAGGAACAACATTGTTCTGAGATCTTAAGAGATGCTCGAAGGAAACAGGATCTTCTGATGGGTTTAAACAGCCCGAGGCCAATATTCGTACAATGTGCCAATTGGTGAACCTGTTTGTTGGCCGAAGCTCCTCACGGCTGGGTACGGGAGGGTCAATAAGTTTAGTCAGAGGGGCTGATAAATTGGCGAGATCCTCAGGAAGATATCCACGGTCTCCCATTCCAACATAGGCTTTGTTCGCCAAGCCACTCCGCAGCGATGCAATCACCTCAGAGCTGATAGTTCGGAATCCAAGTCCATTGAATGGTGCTTTGTCCTGACCCTTGAGTGTTGGAGGCTTCTCGTTTTTGCCTGGCCGACGCCATGATTGCTCGATACTGACATTAGTTTGTTGTACGGCATCAAGGTCATTTATTAGAGGCGCCCAACTCTCAGCCTTCCACTCGCCAAGCCGGGCCATTTGATGCACCAGTAGTGCGCCCGTTCTGCAAAATCCATGCTCCACGCAACACCATAGAATGAGCTCAAGCCATATTTCGGGGCCCAGCTCTCGGATTCCCGGCGTGTAAGGAATGAAAGGTGACGGCTCTCCTGCATCAGCGGCCGCAGCGGCTACTGCTATTTCATGTTCATGCCACGCCGCGTCGGACAGAACGCTCATTATAGAACTGGACAACAAATGGAGTGCTGGTGGGCGAAACACAATCTGGCTGGCATCTGGTTTCGGATATTGATAAACTCTGTCAGAGATCATGCCGGCATGGTGTAAACGGGCAAGAGTTCGGAATACGCAGGACATGGCATGTTTCGAATCATCTGACCGACTGCGTGCAGCATACAAGATCAGAGAGCCGAGGTTTGCAAGTACTTCAGCCAAAATTCTCTCTCCAAAGAATCTCGGTGCAGGTTCTACCGTCAGAGTATCAAGAGAAATGTTATCTGATGAAAGAGGTTCTAGACGAGACCATTTCCAAGGGGATGTTGGTTTTGTGCCTCCCGTGAGCTTGCTGAGGGAGACCTCTTCGGTGATGGGAGACACCAAGTCAGATGTTGACTCATCTCTGCGGCGCACACGGAATGGTCTGTTCCAATCAAGCCCAGGCGAAGGATGTGTAGGAGGCATATGAGGAGCTAGCAACTCATAGGTGTCTATCATGCCGTTCAAAAGAGCCTGCACATTAGACCACTCATGGTGCGCAAATCCGAGATGCGCAAGGAGGTGAAACTCAAAATGAATCCTTCCATCCCATAGACACCCCAGTAGAGCATGGGTTCGATCAAGCTCACGTTGAGATTCGCGGAGTGGTGGAAGCCGCCTGGGCTGGCCTGCAGGTTGGGCGACATCTGCTGGTTTGGAAATTTTTGGTGGAATACAATCTCTCAGCACTGGCATCCATTCCTCAATATGTCTCTTCTGGTCATGCCTGAGGCGAGGGTGTTTGATTAAATTGTATCGGCGTAGAAAGAGAACTTCATCTGGGAAATTAATCTCTCTTTGGTCATTGCGCGTCTTCCGGGTATATTGAGTCCAAGTTGGCCGGGAGAAAGGAGACACGGATCGATATGGAACGAAAGGGAGGCGCGAAGCAGCTGGCCTGCGACCAAATGGCAGGATGCGGCCGGGGCGCAAGCACCTGCTCATGGTACCGCAACGAGGTTCGAAGGCGGGTGTATAGGTTTCGCGATCTCGGTGGGTACGGGATTGGCGTGATACATGTCGGTTTCACAGGTACATCGCGGGGTATTCAGGAGATTCGATTGAACCCCGTACCAACAGGGGCAAATGAATAAAGATGAGGGAGATGAGGTGAATGTTATTTCGAGAATTTTGGAGATCAGGAACTGCTGAGTCAGCACCGAGCTATCAGCCAATCGGAGGCCACAAAATGCGGAGTTCCTTATATTTACAACGCAGGTACACCTGTACTGTCAGGGAATTCTTCTCTTATTTAGATTTAACGATATATACAGTTAGTATATTGCCTGTTTATTGAGCTCTGGGTTACCTGTGGACGATACATGATGCTTAAGTACGGAGGGTTCTACGGGCGACCTCAGTGCTGTTACAGATCTATCTAGGTTCATAAGGAGCGCCCTAATATTCATTACTATCAGTATCTACCCACATTATTACTGGTCAAGAGACTTTATCCACTTTACTTCTATGTACCTCTGCAGCGTATGTCAAAACAAAATAGTATGGTGGACATAAATTGTTTATTTAGGAAGAGCATACTCCGTACAGCTTCAAGACCATGATTTGTTGAACCTTTAATTGAATACAGTCTTTTTCGAGGTCTTTGTTGCGGCACATTATTCTATACCCTTGAACTTCAAAGGTGCAGAAATGCATATAAATATATCTAATTGAAGAATCTTGCTTGTTTATAGGCCTTTCAACCCCATCTTTCCAAGTAAGATCTTAACGGATAACCAATCCTGCATCTGTGTATATCCCAGGAGCGACCTTTTATTTCGGATACGTTTTCATGGTAATGCCATCCACTTGAGTTCATAGTACTAAGTATGTTGTAAAACCCTCGGAGGGAGTCTCGAATAACACCTTTGCTTCGACCTAGTCACAACTCCAGTAATACTACCTACTTCAGGATTGACGGTGATGTTCATTTCACATAGGTCATTGTGAGTTAGAACTAATGGATACGTAAGAGCAATCTCGTTAGAACTTCTTCGCGGTGCTTAAAGATAAGCTTGGTGAAACACGAAGAGAGTTGCTGCTATAGAACCAGGGTAGGTTTATCTTAGAGGTCTACTAAAGAGTGGTCAGAGAGATATGTTCTATAAATCGGTTTAGCCGTGGATTATTGAAGAATATAGAAAGATTAAAAGATTATTTATACGAAAATACCTCGCAAAATGGGGCACTATTTTTCATGTCACGAAGCAGAATGAAATGTTGTCATAGGGGCTATGTAGATTTATCCTAGGGGCCTTACCTGTAGCATAGATAGCAAGGGAAGGCGACGATCTGATAAAATTTATATTAATACAAGCCTGCAAAATCCATACATGTCTCAACAAATTTTCCGAGTAAGCCCCGAAGTTTTTATGTCCAAAAGAGGGAGCCAGAAATACAAGATTGTACGGAAAGCTCCCCAATAGCTACGGTGCAACTATACGCCCCTTGAAGTCGAACTGGCTTCACAGCTTCGCCAGCAATCACAACAGCGGTTTGGTCACATTCGTCCCGCGTGAAGCTGCAGCTAGAAAATAATTAGTTGATATTTGTTTGTTTGGGCGAATGACAAGACATCCTAGGTGAAACTAGGATTTGCTAGGGAAAAGTATAAAAAGACCGGCGCCGAAGGCAAAACTGGGGTCATAAGGGGTCTCCGGTGGGGGCTGGTCTATGCAGTGTTAAGTACATATGTAACTGTGAACATTGCCTAAGGTATGTTTGTAGAAATTAATTAATTATAGTGGAATACTGAAGAGCGGTTGACCGTAGCCTGCTACATCATCATTCTCGGTTATAGGATCATAACTGGGTCATATAGCGTATTTCGATCGGCACCGCATACTCCCTACCGTAATTTCAGGTGCCAAAAAAAGGAGCAAATATGCCAACAGAAGCAAAATCTGCTATGTGATGGATTAAAGATACTGTTTCTTGAAGCATGTAGATAAGACCCTTTGCAGGGGGTTTGTGGGTGACGATATCTGGTAGATTTCTAACGTTATTATAGTTGTACTAGTTATGTATTCACAAATTAACAGATTTACTACTCTACATGACACCCAGGAAAATATTCCAATATAGCAACAATCTCTTCTCTATAGCCGGTCCAGCAGCGACAGAAAACACAGCAATGATCTATCTCACATGTTACACAAGTGAAGCTGCAAAGTGCAGAATCTAGAACAACATCTGGCGCGCGTGACGACGAGTGAAGTCTCCCTGCTCACCAACTGTAGCAGCAGTCGCGGTCGCAACAGGCAAAACGGTGAAGGAACCGCTAGTGGCCTGGCTACCGGAGAAGCCGCCGGGGAACCCAGGGGGAACACCGGTAGACTCAGGGAATCCAGGAGGCACGGCAGTAGAAGAACCGATAGGAGAGCTGGTAGGAGAGCTGGTAGGAGAGCTGGTGGGGGAGCTGGAGGACTCAGATCCATGACCGTGACCTCCATGGCCGAACCCTCCATGGCCGAGTCCGCCGTGACCAGGTCCCTTAATACCAGGTCCGTGACCAGGTGCTCGACGGCCAAAAGAGAATCCAGTCGGGGTAGGCCATCCAGTTGGGAATCCAGTAGGAGTGCCAGATGGGGTTCCGGATGGAGTGACAGAGGGGGTTCCGGATGGGAATCCAGACGGGGTCCCAGTTGGGGTTCCAGATGGGAAACCGCCAGGGAAGCTACTGGAAGGAGAGCCGGTAGGAGCGGCAGCGTCAGCCTTGTTGGCGTGCTGGGGAGACAATGTCAGCAAAGAACGAGATCTATTTGAGGATTTTTAGTGTAGATACTCACAGGCAGCTTCCAAGCCGCAGCAGATGGGGCCATAAATAGGGCAGCAACGCCAATGGCAGCAGTGAACTTCATGATGGAGAGTGTTGAGTTGTTGGACACTTGAAAGTGAAAGTGGGAAATGAATGGATGCTCGTAGGAGTAACGCAAAGAAAGTCCTGGAGCTTTTAAAAAGAATGAATGTGCACAGCACTTGCGACCAAAGAAGACCCTTGAGAGCAGGAAGTTCGAGCTGGTTATATACCCCTAGTGTTTCATTGTTGAGGGTCAAAGGATTGAGCCGTTAAAAGGCCGCCAAAAGACCGCCGAAACACCATTTGTTCCGTGAGAGGAATCAGATCTGCAGGGGAGCAGGTCTCATCCCAAGGCGAAAAAAACTCTAAGTAGGAGAGATCTTCATAGATGGGAAAATAGCCCTATCACCCCGGGTATAATATATTATAGTGGAACCAGGAAATACGGTACAGATGGTGGACGGAATGGCTGTATATTGTGCGGAGCAAGTTGTTTCAGACAAAAGAGAGATGGATATAATGGGCGAATGACAGATCTCCACCTTGTTGTGCACATCGCTCCTGTCGATCACTTGTGTGATGGACAAAGGAGGTGTGTCCTGCTTAGATGGAGATTGGCCAAAGGCGGCATGCCGCGCCAAGACTGCCTAGAAACATTTTGTACTCAGTACGGAGTACTTTGTACACTTAATAGTATATTAGATATGTTGTATTTAAGAAATCTAACTTGTGGAATTTCTTTCATCCCTAGAAGTATTTTTGCTTGCTTATCTCGGATGAATTTTGCTGTGAATAGGTGAATAGATGCACATGTGTTATGTGAAAATATCCACGAATATGCTTCTAACTAGCTACAGTGTAAGTGTATGTTTTATTTGCTGTCTCTAGAACAAATTATATACTTCATATAGCTTTTTATAGAACACTCTATCACAAACTATATTGTGGGGTTCATATCGCCCAAACTCATCGATAACCAATTGATTTCAGACATTTTAATAGATCTTTTAAAGTTTGGCTTGCTGTCCACCTTTAAAAAGAATGCCGACATGGAATGGTGTCATGCGCTGGTCAAAGCTTACAATACCACACAAAATGCAATTGGGAAAGTTAGCCACACCTGCCTATATATGCATTCACGGATACAATCTCTGAATGAAAGTCAAATAGTATCCACCGGTATTCTCAAGCATGGTCAATTGGAGATGGATAGTTGCCGGTCTCAATGTTATAGACATAGATAGGCTTCACAATAGTGTTGGTCTTATTATCAGGCTGCACAAAGCGAGTGCTGTGGCCCAACTGCGAGGCACACATCCACAGGCGCTGCTGCGTATTGCTCTTCGCATCAATGGAAGTGCCGCCAGTGCTGGGAGTCAACGAGAATGGCTCGACATGGTTGGGAAGCAGGTCCGCTGCTGTGTCATTGTGCAGGGCATCGCTCAAGTACCGAGTTTCAATGCGCTACATGTATCCAATGCCAGGTTGGTAGTAGAGGTATTTGCCGTCCGGCGATACTTCAAGTTGATCGGCGTGGATATACTCAAACTTGCCAGTCGACTGGGTGCGCACGAGTTGGCCGTCACTCGATAGCGGCATCAAGGCGACTACTGATTTATGTTCCGGAGCACCATGCGGGCAAACCCCGTCACCAGGTCTAGCACAATGACGGAGCCGATGGTATACTATGTGAGGTAGGCGTACTTGCCGTTGAAACGCACGTCGTTCAGCGATCCCTGCACCTCGTTGATAGTTAGATTGAACGAGATGAGCTTCGACGAGTTGTAAAAGTCATGAAGAGCTCCACTGTCTATCACCCAGAGGTTTCCATCGGGGCCAACTCGCTGCGAGTTGGCCTTTTATCAATCGACTTGAATCTATTCTCGACTTAACAGTCTCTTCAACCAGCTTCAGAACCAGTGCAGGATCATCTCGATATTTTATTTTCATTAACAGGAATACATATGATGGAGGAAGGGGATACTTGGACCAACCTATTTTTCTCTGGCAGCCGTCCAAACACCCTAAACGCCAACGAGCTTGAGGGCCAAAAATTCTGACCTTTTTGTGCTGAAGACGACAACTGGGAACTAGGAAGCAAGGTCGATATATCAAGAGTACCGGGTGCGAACAGTATACAGGTGTTCTGGCTTCGGATCAAAGGACGCAGAAAATACGTCGGCAAAGTCGTAAGTAGAGGCAACCATCAAACGCGTGCTCCGATTAATCCTATACTAGTTCCCTTGTTATTCTAAGCGAGATGCCACCATACAGCTTCACCGTATCGGGGTACCGCCAAATCCAGAAAGGATAGACGATGCTATATATGAGTTCGATAGATTTTATCGGGAGGCTCGGGCATACAGCCATATTGACCTATTCTGTCCCGCCCGTGAAAGAATCTATTTCCTACAATTCCACGGAGTGATGACAAATATACCGAAATCTCGATTTTCTTCTGGATATTGCCATGAGCGAGCGATTGTGCTAGAGGCAATAAAACCGGACCTACGCTCTCGACGAGTTCTTAGTGAAGTCGCCAATCACCAGTCTGAAAGCTTCTTAGGTGTCCTTGAAACCCTATCTGAAAGGTTTTATACAACTCCTACAGTGGTTTCTTTGAGCTCGTTCGAGCAGGAGTGGTATCATTCTTTGCTGAAAGACCGACTTCGTCGTCTAGATACTTTACATCGAATTGGCATAACACATGGCGATATCCATGATTTCCACTTTCGACTTCCCAATGACATTTACGATACAGTTCTATACGACTTCTCTGAATCGTACACTTTCTCTAGGAAGCAACCGTTTCGGGTAAGTGGTGGAAGACTTCGACCTTTAAAAGATATATCAAAGGGTGAACGTGAACGTGTTCTTCTACATATCCTCAATCGGTAAGAAAGAAGACTTTAATATTCATATTGCCACTAAAATACATTCAGAGCCGCCTCACGAGATCTTCGTTCCCATCTGATACATTTCAACAGCAAAGCATCAGTTGCCGGCATCAAATCTGCACACATCTCTGCTGTTGATAATACACTCTGGAAGTCTCTCGATAAAGAGGAAGAATTGTTAGAGTTGATCATACTAAAAGTCTCCTATCACCCGGATAGTGAGTTTCTATTGATATGTTCCCAGATTTTAGATATTGGTTATTAACTATGCTAGACTTTTCGATGCCGACCTTGAATTCCATTTTCCCTTTTCTGGAAGCCGTATGCCCAACCTCTGACCCCTGCTGGCATATTCGTCGAGCTAGACTTTTACGTCAATATGAGTCAGTTTGGGCAGTCTTTTGTGACGATATAACCTACCCCCAATCAATCACATTTTATTGTGAGCCACAATTTGAAACGATTCAAAAAACGAAGGACACTTGTTTTATACTTTGCTTGGTACCACAGTCATGGGGGATTGCGTCATTGTCGAAGTTTTGTTTTGCCGGGCTTAATGAGCTACGGAAATATTGCTCTCGTTTTATTACAGCAAAATCACCCGGGGCAATACTAAGTCGAGACGAATTTTGGAAAAAAGCGGAGTCTAGAGGAAAAGGGGATATAGAATTATGAATAATGAAAACTTTGCCCTGGTTTTTTTTTCCCACGTGGTACCATTTAGACAGGAAGTCCCAGATCATTCCATTAGATGACATAAGTCGCTCTTGTTTCCAAGGTTCTGAGGAATCTAGCTTCAAAATATCCACGAAGGAAACCCCATAATCGGAAAAGGACCTCTAGACGCGGAGTAAATTGTACCGAGGAAACACAGCACAAACAATCTATCAGTACAACTCGAAAGGTAGCATTTGTAGCAAGATTTTTGGCCTCTATACTACCGTTGCTAGGTAGGAAGCCGTTCAATGCTGATATTGTTTCTTGGCCATCTGTGATGCCCATCATTGGCCAGAATAACCCCGATCATCGTTATCTAGGTATGTCCACGGGTAAATATGGGATGAGACTTGGCAATGCCACTTTTTGAGGGGTTAGCAGAGTAAGCTGACCCGGATATTTATGAAACCGGAGAATGCGTTGGCACATGCATGTAACCGATTGACAGTCGCTTTTCTTGTTTTCCTTGGTTTTCCACCGAATTTTCTCTCTCTCCTTGAGAGGGATGTTTCGAGATGAACTGCCACACTTCAATTTCTGAAAAAAACTATGCGTGCAGCACGTGGTGGCCATTTTTTTCTCCTAATTATCGTATTGTGTGGATCACAGTGATACATGGTCATATTGCCAAGGAGGACCCGATGGGGCACCGGGACAAGACTCGGAGAAACAGTACACCGATACTAGGATATGCAAGTGATCCGTTCCCGAGAAGGGTCCCTTTTTCAGAGTTATTATACAGCGCTGGCAGTGGCTGAGTTAGAGATCAAGATCATCTTGGCTCCAGGCAAGGAAACCTAGATATCGACTAGCGCCATGCTGCCAAGATTGCGCCGAGGGCGGAAATGGCGTTAGGTGACTCGAAGGCTGAAGATCTCAGGCTAAATGATGGCTACTTCGGTAGGCTCCAGATTATAGAACCACAATAGCGTTGTTCTAAACATTAAGTTCGTCAATCTTCTATAGTTCTAGACAGACAAAGCTTATCAATCTAGAGGTACTCGGTCGATACTGATGTCTTTCTTAGAAATCGACTCCCAACAGTTCCACTCTCGATTTGTCCTGTTGTGAAGTCGAGACTCGAGACGGAGGACTGTACCCTTTCTCGCATAACCACTTGAATATCAAGTTCATTACTTCAACTGTTGTCATAAATTAAATTCTATGTAGCCTTTCTTTATTGTGACTATACGTTCGTAAGAGAACATTGTGGTTTCAACACCCAGTAGTTCAAGGCACCCGTAGGCTGCACGCAAGCCATTCCAAGTCATTGGGCAAGAACACCCGACGAAAATACCTGGACATGGCCGAGGCCGATCTTGCTTTGTCAGTTCGAGCGGCCTAGTGTAAGGGTTCTTGGAGTACTGCAGATGTGCTTAGTGGAGCTCCTTTCGACTTCAAAATGAGATACTTATGCGCCAAGGTTGAGAAATCTCCATGAGATGCAATGGCAAGGCAAGTGCGCCGAATACTACCCCTTGCGACCAAAAACGCGGATAATATCAGCCTTCTTGGAAGATGTCCAGCACGGAAGCTGTCCGAGCTGTGGATAAGCTGCTGTTAAATAGCCAAGAGGTTGCTGATAGCTACAGAGGCCGACACCCGTTTCTAAGTTTACCAAGATGCTATACTCTACTCTTCTCTATGGTCTGTCCTTGGCCCTCTTTGCTCAGGGAGACGTGACCAAGGAGCACAATGGCCGTCTGACAACGACCGTCATTCTGGACACCCCCACCACGGGTGCCAGTACCACGCCAGAGGGCCGGGCCTTCCTCAAACTTGCTCGAGTTGATGGCATAACAGGCTCCCAGATTGTTGAGGTCATCGACGAGGTCGGAGAGCAAAGGCTAGTGACGTATTCCAATGATACATGGAACTCATGGAATGCCACCACCGACAGCGAGATTGACTCGCAGACCAAGTATGTCTCGGCGCCTGCGGAAAGTAGTGTCATGTGACATTTTCCTTACATTAATTATTTTAGAACAGTTAGGCTTAGACTTAGATCTGGAATTGAATCAGAGATTATCGCGAACTTGGTGAAATATCTATACGAGAGAGCTGTCACGATGATACTTCATAATATGGTCTTGGTCGTTTCGCCGAGTGTTGACTATCGAAAGCGGCCGTTACATTAAGCACAGTATGTCCATTATGGTGCTTGAACATAAATTGCAGGTGGTGACACCGAGTTCGGTAAGTACTGTATTACGACTTTCCAAATATGTCCTTTTGCACATTTTGAAAGTCATCTTCTAGGCTCACATCAGGCTGTGCGGTTGTTCTCTAGATACATGTATGGGAGGAGTGAAGTTTATCACGATACCTATATAGGTCATTCTTGCGGCCATGCACCTGGCATCACCTCCACTGGCCGCTCGATCATTTCCCAAAATTCCCCTACATAAGAATCAGTTGGGTCGGACATCCATATATGCCAATCTTTGGGGGAGGGGCCATGGGTAAATCCAATCACTCTTAGCGATATGTGCATTTCTAAAACTCTATCCCGCACCCAGAATTCTCGCCGGATTGTCTGATTTTTCCAAATCAATTCCTCCGCTTTGCCATATTCACTAAGATCCACACCAACGGCTTCCAGTTGTTCTAACCATAGTTGAACGGCGAGTTGTTGAACGGCGAATTGATTAGCATCGGAAGGAAACCAATTTGAGAGCCATCCCTCGATGCACGACAGAAGGGGAGTTCTCTCGTCAATTATGTAATTAATGTCAATTCCAACACTCAGAAAGTCATGGCAAAGGCTAATCCAAGCGCCAATTACCGACTGACATTTGTGGGCACCGCCCGATCTTTGAAGGGGCCATTGACATGCCCCAATATGCGCCGCCGTAGAATGAATTAACGTCGAGTTCAGCTCTTGACAAAACTTGAAATCATCAGGTTCCAAAATATCCGTTTTTAAGACAATTCGGATAACGTTCGGCGTGGAAACATCGATGCTCCAGTGCCGTATGGTCCTTGCTATGCCAAGGCCCACCCGGAGACGAATCTGTTTTGGCAGTTGGTAGAAGGAAGGACAAATGTGCTGTTGTAGGAAAGAAAACTCTTCTGGCGTTCCTAGAAACCTGCTTAGGACAGAAACTGCCCATTCTTCGGATTGATAGCTCAGATCTATATGGCGGAAGATGACACGCATAGATGGAACCAATGACTCCAATTCATATTCTGTAGTTGGTAGGTGGTGTAATATACTACCAAATGGTAGGTAATCTGAGCATTCCAGATCTGCTCCTTGATCTAAGAGAAACGATATCATCTTAGTTCTATTTACGCGGCTGACCATCTTGGTTATCCGTTAGTACGTTAGAAACCAATGCCTTGCTAAGGTTGCACGAAATGCTTACATGAATTAGTGATTGCCCATCCAAACCGTGGATTCGGTCGAAAGGCGATGCTTGCCTGGAGGCAAATAGATCCTGGAGTCCTTGGATGTCTCCATTCGCCACAAGCGAGACTGCTTTTGCATTGTAGGGAACCACACCATAAGCTCGCAAGTACCAGTTCCACCCTCCTGGAGCTTTAATGCCAGCCACTTCTAGGACTTCCGAGGTAATCCAGCGAGGCAAGCTAAGCCGCCACTTATAGCTGCTGTTTTGAGTAAATTTCAATCCTTTATATTGTGATACAACAACGGATTTGGTGTCATTGGCAAAAGACTCGGTCCCTAGCGAAACCGTCAATGAGGCAACCTGGTCATGACCCAACGGAAAACCATACCTTCCATAGTTGTCGTGGTCCTAACTTTTTCCGAAGACGAACGGGCTGTATCAAGTTTTACCATCGTTTCAATAATCAACTGAGACTGAGCTTGAATGTGAGCTTGAGTAAGGGCCCTATATTCATCAGCTGACCAATACCAACTGTAATCGAATATAATCAAATGGCATACCGGTGATAGCATTGCTCAGACCACATGAGTAACTGAATAACATTTCTTAAATGATCCATGTGCTTTTCGATCTTCCCTCTTTGCATCACAATCTTAACAGACTTAAAAGACCGACGCAAACGGCTGGGAGATTTAACATCTCGAACGATATCGTTGCAGACCGTATCCAACTCATTCGCTGCTTCTTTGCAATAGGCTAAGCTTTGCAGCGCAGCCTCACTATTCTCCAAGCGGGGATTCGGATTTCGGGACAAATCTTCCTCAACGTTCACTAGTATTTTGCCAAAGATCTCGATTTGTTGCACTAGCTTCCGTAGATCGTCGGGCGCGTCGCGTAAATCGTGGTAGCATTCTTTCAGTGTGATGATGGTCTTTCCGATTTGAACAAGAACCGTCGCAAACGTTATCGCGCCTGAAACTACCCCGATGACCTCGGCCATCTTCTATTGACTCGGGGGCTAGGCTGTGAGGGGCTCTGGGTTCGGCGAGGTACTCATCAGTACAGGAGAGTCTGATATTAGGGTGTGCAAGACAAACACCAATTCGAGAAAAAAAAGAACTGACTAGAATCAAGGATAGAAGAGGAGGTTTTGATGATATTAGTCAACGAGGCTCAGCTACATATCATGGTGGGTGTTTCGCCCGATGCGCAGCTTGTCAGAACTGCTCGACGAATCATTATTTTTGTTTTGCCGCCGTTGATTGCGACTTATTTTAGGACATGTCGATTGCAGAAGTAACTCATTGGTACCTAGAGCTGCAACGTGGCCTTCATCCTCCCAGTTATGTACAGCTAACTAGTTACTATATTATCAAATTAAGGATACAGCGTACGCATAACATACAATAGAGGCCTAGATGCAACACTTTTTGCTACGTACTTATTTATAGAAGCCTTCCTTTGGATTATTTCGGCTAAAAAACTTATGGCGATCGTTCTTTCTTTTACCTCCTAAAACAGGGACTCCTATACCCAAGGTACACTTATAATATTAAAACGATATATGCATTGCGCATCCTGAACTGACCCGGGGTATTGTACATGAAACCAACACCATTAAATTGAACACCAAATCATCAAATCATGACAAAGCAACTTCAAAGCTCCTCTTCAAGAACTTCTTCACCTCCAAGCTCTTGTTCCACTTCGTCAACCACAAAGCTCTCGTAGTCCTCGAGTCCCTTTTGAACATGTACTTTGAAGCGAATCACGTCGTTTAGCATTGTTTCGACGTTAGTGTGCAACTCCTCTCGGAGAGAATTTGCCCGAAGCGTCAGTTGCTCGTATTCGATATTGGTGTTCATCTCGCGCTGCTCCATCAATTGTACACTGTCACTGAGCGTAGCGCGCATCTTTGCCAATTCCTTCTCCATCTTCTCAATTTGGGCATCGGAGGCCAGCTTCTGAGTAGTTGTGATTTCCTTTGTTCGCTCAAACTCCTCCTCTGCTGCTCGGCGTCGATGCTCCAGAGCCTCGACCTCGCTTCGTTTCTCATCCATTGCCTCTTTGATGTTGTCGAGTAGATTGCGGCGCTCAAGGTCGTCATCAATCCCTTGCTTCCGTCGTTCATTGATCTCTTTCCGGAGTGATTGCAGGCTGTTTCGGACAGAGCCCCGTAGGTCTAAACTAAGCAAATGCGCCGGGTGGTAGCCAGTGAAAGGCTCCGCCAATAGGCGATCTCCCTCGGGAGAAATTCGGTTTGGAGGGCCACCAATCTGACTCGCGGAGAAATTGCTCTCATTAATATTGAGACTTAGTTCATAATCTTGGCCCTTCGCGTTCTCCGCAGCCGCGGGGATCAAGCTAGTTTGGTAGCCAAGAGTATTGTAAGCTTTCACGATCTGTTCTAGATCTTCCAGTTTCTGGCTAGCTTCCGCTTCCTTCTCCATGACACGGGCATGGGCCTCTTCGAGGCGAGCCACGGTATCTTCGAGATTCTTCTGCAGACGTTCTCGCTCTGAGTTCATGCGGTCGATATCCTGGATAGTGATGCCTTGGCGATCAACACTTGCTTGGAGATCGGAACGCTCAGATTCAGTGGCCTGAAGATCGGTATCGGTTTTCTGGATCTCCGCGTCGAGGAATTTTATGCGAGTCTCGTATTTTTCGATTTTGCCTTTGACGTTCTGGTTATAATCTTCAAATTTCCTCTTGTCATCCTCCAAGATACGGAAGTGTTTATCCAACTTGGCGATATCAGGAGCACTCTTCTCCACCTCTTCGATTTGATCGCGAAGAGCCCGGTTCTCCGCCTCTAGTGCCTCCATTTCCTGCACGTACCGCTCATTACCAACAGCAAATTCTCGCGACATGTTTTCAACATGCGGAACCAACCGCTTCTCCGCGGTGTCATCATCCTCGTCTTCACCACCCTGCAGCCAATCATGGTAGGCTTGAGTGAGGAAGCGGAAAATAATACGATCACCGCTGACATCGACACCCGCCTCAGCACAGGCATCATCATACTCGCCGGACTGATAGCGATCCATCATTTGTGCCAATTGCATCAACCAATGTAGCATTCCGAGGAAGGTCGACCAGTTCTGACCACCAACGGCTGCGATTTGTGACTTCGTAATGCCTTTCTCATACGGGTATCTAAGCTGTTTCAGGATTGGCGGTACTTCGGAGTCCATTGCTTTTTGGAACTTGTATCCTGGATCGATTCGATGATAGAGCCACTGGAAGATAAAGTTGAAATCCTTTTGGGTCGGCGAGCGAAGAGTGTTCTGCCCCAAGGAATGTTTCATCTCCAACTCGAACCCATGAATAGTCAAATACTCCAACAGTTCCTGGCCAATCCGTGCCTGGAAAGATCGGTCTCTGAGCGGGCGCGGGTCTCTGGGAACACCAGCCACGGTGGGAACTTGAGTGAAGAAAGATTGGTGTCCCATCGGTCCACCTGTAGATGGTCGCGAAAACACACTGCTTCTGCGCTGTGGGTTCTGAGGAGGCGCGGGATTGGAGGAAAGAGACCCTGGCGCATAGCTCTGCCGACTGGCACCCGCCCCACTGAACATGTTACTCGAGACTGATCGGCGAACAGATGAAAGGCCGGCATCAGCGCCATATGGTCCACCAATTGACATGCGCGTAAAGTTGGGCTGCTGCGGGCGACTAGTGGAGCCCATCAAGGAACTTCGGTGGTTCTGAGAGCTGAACGGGGGGTTTTGGAATCCGATAGAGCTTGCGCGCTTCAGTGCCGACTGCGGTTGGGGGATGGCGGAGAAGTTCTGTACACTCCCGAGAGTCTTGATCGCAATATAAATTAGCCCCAAGTCTTGCGCTGTATATGAGGAATCTATACTTCTCGGGGGCGCTTAATACTGAAAAGCCCAGTATCTTGCGACATGGTGATAAACAAGCCGCGAAGGCGGCAATAGACAAAGCGATCCTTTTGACAACTGGATTTTCGATATGGTTGTGTATAGATAAAGATTCAAGCTCCAAGTGGATTGCACCACACAATCTGAGAGGAGGGGTTTAATCTGGTTGTTTGGCAGCCACGAGGCGGGATTTAGGGTCGATGTAAACAAATGCGTGCCACTTTTCAAATGAGGTAGGCGGTGTGAGTTTAAAGGAAAAACAGTTTCGCCGATAATCACGAGACTCCCGGTCTGGGGAAGCCTTGGCGTTGGGGCGAGTTCCGAGGTCCAAATGGCGATTGCCGATGGGAGCGTCGCATCTCTCTCCCTAATTCATCTCTCCTGCACTTCACTGGCAGTCGACATCAATCATAATGGCTCCACGCGAGGAGCTTATTGCCTCAGCTGTAAGTTATTTATTGACATAGTGTCTCTACTATCATCCGCTTTCGGAGCTACCGCTAATATGTGTGTCCGTTAGATTACCTGTATGGATTATGAAGCACACGACTTGATGTGCAATGATCGCTGACTTTGTCTAGTCCTCCAGGACCCATCGGTTGCATCTTCACCCATTGAGAAGAGAGTCTCATTCCTTCAATCTAAGAACTTGACTCAAGAGGAAGTGGACATTGCCTTATCGCGAGTGGGCGAAGACCCGTCTGCTGCGGCCGCAGCTACAGCTTCGGCATCCCCGGCGCCTAGTTACTCTTCACAGCCAGTTCCTTACCGGCAACCACAGCCGCCTCAAGGATATGGCTATCCTCCATATAATCAATGGCAGCCCCCTCCTGAGTACGTTTACCTACCGATCGTCGCATGGTGTTTGAGACTAATCACATGAAAAGGCCACCCAAAAGAGATTGGCGTGACTGGTTTATTATGGCGACAGTCGTGGGTGGAGTTGGTTATGGGTTGTACACCGTCACAAAGGTATCGAATGGTCCCCTCTCTCAAAACTAATGGCGCTGATCAATCCATCCAGCGTTATATCGCACCTTTGATCGCCCCACCGACCCCTCCCCAGCTGGAGCAAGATAAAGAAAACATCGATGAGCAATTCTCACGCGCATTTACTCTAATCGAACAACTATCGACCGACACTGCTGCATTGAAGACCGCCGAGGAAGCCCGTACCGAGCGCTTGGATGGGGCTCTCAAGGACGTGGAGAATCTTGTTGCTGACCTCAAGAATTCATCCCGCCGAAGAGATGATGAGACTCGTCGCATTAGTGACGAAGTGAAGTCATTGAAGGATGCCATTCCCAAGGCCCTTGAAGGTGCTCGGGAAGGCAATGAGAACCGACTGAAGGAGCTCGGAACTGAGCTCAAGAGCTTGAAGACCTTGCTGGGCAACCGACTTGGTGGTAGCGGAGCTACCCCCGTTGCTGGCAGGACTATTGGATCCACTTCCATTCCCAGCATTCCTCGCCCGGCACCGGAAGAGACCCCCGCCACTTCCGCTCCTCCTGCCACCACCAACAGCTTGGCTGCTACTGTGACACCAGCTGAACAGGAGCCAACTCCAGCTGCTGCCCCGGTGAGCACAAGCCAGAGCCCCAACCCCCTCTCGCAGCTTGGTCGATCTGCCTCCATCCCGGCGTGGCAAATGGCCGCAGCCAACCGGTCTAAGGCCAACTCGCAGCCTAGTACACCTGCTACCCCTGCTGAGACCACCGCTAGCCCTAGCCTGGAGCAGAGTGCCCCTCCCAGCTAAAGTTGATTTGGGGTCGTTGAGTTATTGAATATTGTATACTTCTTCGCCTAGATGTATTTATCACAATGAAGTTTTTTTTTTTCCTGGACGAAACATTTGCTTCGTAATATAACAGCCTTTTTTTATGTATAAATTTGTAGTCAAAATTAACAAAATCGAGGCGAAGGATGCGTTGGAATCGAAAACCCGGGGATAATCTTGCCCAGGTGGTGGCCGAACCGATAAGCAGACCTGTCTTTTCTTATCAACCAAACTCCGCCAGACTTTCCAGAGCCTCTCAACCACGAAGGAAATCAGCGAAAATGCCTTCACCAACTCGCTCATCGCACCGAGATGCTTCTCCCTCTGCACCAAGCTCAAGCCGCCATCACCGCAGCCGCCACAGCCATTCCCACCGCCACCGGCCCCGAGAGAGCTCGCGCTCGCGCTCTCGCTCTCCGCACCGCTCAGACAGACACAGATCTCACCGTCACCACCGCCGTAGCGAAGACAGAGAGCGTGGACACAACGAGAGACGACACAGAGATGCTCCAGCAAAACCGGTCGTGCTCCCTTACCAAGCGCGCGAGCTATCAGGGCGCGACCTGAAGGTTTACGAGCCCATGTTTGGCATGTACTTGGATATCCAAAAAGGAAAATACATTGAAGACTTGAGCGAAGACGAGGTGAGAGGGCGATGGAAGAGTTTTACGCAAAAATGGTAGGTCTGAGGGTGTTCTTTGCTTGGCGCGATAAATACTGACATCACAGGAACCGTGGAGAACTCGCCGAGGGATGGTATGATCCCGTTACACTTGACAAGGCACGCCGGAGTGCAGAAGAAGAACTGGCAGCTGGTCCGAGAGGCGGGCGCGAATCGCCTGATTATACGCAGGCCCAGCGAACGACTAGTGAAGCCCCACAGAACCCGCCAGTAGGCGACGATGATGACGAAGATGAGGATGATGAGTACGGGCCTAGTCTGCCACAAGCTCGATCAGGGAGAGGTGGCCCACAAGCCGGCCCTGCAATCCCGACTATGCAAGATCTTGAGCTTAAAAGAGGTATGTTTTTCTACTCCTCCCCCGGGGATATGCCCAGAGTTCTGACCTTCTTATAGAATCTGCTATCGAGGATGCCATCGCTGCCCGCGGTGAGTCACGCGATCAGTACCGCGCTGAAATTCGTTCGCACAAATCCGAAATGCGCCATCTCCAAGACGAAATTGCGCCGCGGGCTGAGGCGGGCACACGGGAGAGAATGCTCGAGAAGCGGCGAGAAGTTGCTTCAAGCAACCGTGCATTTGCGGACGCGCGTGGTGGTTCACCCGAGGCAGCTCGGGATGAAGATTTAATGGGTGGGGACGATGAGTTCTCTGCCTTGAAACGGGAGAAGGAGAAAGATCAACGTAAGAAGAACGATCGTGAGATCCGGAGAGAGGAGATTCTTCGTGCGCGTACAGCGGAGCGAGAAGAGCGTGCGCAGGCATATCGACAGAAGGAGCAGGAGACTATGAGCTTCTTGCAAGCCCTGGCAAAGCAGCGATTTGGCTGAAAACTAAATAGCCCGTGTTCACGCGCCGTCCCCTTTCTGAGTGTCCTATATTCTTCACTGTCAGAGTCCTAAAATAATAATACATCTAAGCGGCGGGCCTGTGAATTACTAAATGCGGTTAATATAACGCCCGTATAATATACCAATAGTATTATGGGAGAGTGGTTAAAAGGCCATAAGGTATACGTCGAGGATTAGCCTCTATATTTACCCAACCTAAGCCCTATTAATCCCTGTTGGTGGCTATTGAAGGTTAAATTATTAAAACTATACCCCTAATTAGTAGAAATTGGTATGATTAAGACAGATTAGGAGTATATTCAGAGAGCTATACACTGTATAGGATGCACCTGATTAAAGACAACTTGATCCGCTCCGTACCTAGAAGATTGCTTGCTACGCGCAAAGAAAAGGGTTACTACACTAAGAATTAAATGCATTGGCTTCGTTAGCTAATTCCCTATCTTTTAATGCTAAAATCAATATATATTTACTATATTGGTGTGGTAAAATACATATTTGAATGTAGAAATATATAGTGGTTGGCGTGCGAGAGAAAACCGATTGTGGCAGAGCTCCAAGATTTCCGTCTCAAGGTCCTCGGACCACAACATTGAAGATATCGTGAGATAAGTGCCAGGCTGTTCTTGAGCACCTGAAAGACCGCAGTAAAGTAGCAGAGCGATGTGCCGGTAGCATGGGGACGATTCGACCTACGTTGTTGACGGCTCTGTCGGGTGAGATCCATCCTTGGCATTGATTGATGTCAGGCTAATTCGTGAAACAGAACAAGGTGACCAACAGCAAGACCCCAACGAACAACCGGACATAGCAGCTTACAACATAGGGCAAATGCCGTGTCCGGAAGATCATTTTCGTGACTTCGCTTTCGATAACCAAATCTTCTTTGACTCTTTTTGGTATGATTTGGCATTTGATGATTTCCAGCTTCGGTTGGGAAATCGCTCTCCTACTGCAGAAACTAAGGCTTTGTGGAAGTCCGAAGAGGAGGTGTAGTAGTAAAATAAAATAAAATAATAAAGGATAAATGGTGAGAGTACGAGGATAGAAGTGGCTTGACGCGTAACCATCTAGAAGTTCATAGGCAATAGAGTATGTAACAATAGCATAATACATAGTATAATACATAGCCCCTATAATAGAAGTGCGCAGAGTAGCAAGACTCCAATCAAAATATCATACTTCACGTTGTCACTCACCTGTACACTTCCGTGCTTCTTCAGTTCTTCCAAAGAGTGCTGCGCAGAGTGCTATTCAACTGCGCACGGTAGAGCTTGTGCTCGTTGAGAATGTACAATTGCCCTTTCTTGCCGAAAGAGAAGTTTGAAGAGCCACCACTAACCAAAATCTTTCCCAGTAAGACACCGCCAGACGACCAGACATTGACACCGTCACCGCAGCCAGCGTACACATTACCGTACTGATCAACCTTGAGACCATCAGGAATACCATCACTAGGCATGGCAAAGACCCGACGGTTAGTTAAGAAAGGCTGTCCGTTGATGGTGGACACATCGAAAGCATAGCTAGACCATGTTAGTCAAAAATTCCCCATCGCATCTCATTCATGCATAAATGAAAACCATCCCAGGGCTCAACTTACATAGTGGCAGGCTTCAGCACATCAGTAGTCCCATCACCGATTGTCTCGGCAGTATCGGAAATATACACGGTCTTCTCATCAGGCGAGAAAGAAATTCCATTAGGCCGAGCGAGTCCATCCGCAATAACGCGCACAGCCTTGGTAACAGGATCATACCGGTAAACCTGAGCTGGCAACTTGGGCTTCGGGCGAATACCCTGGAGCCAGCCATAGATAGGATCCGTGAACCAGAAGGAGCCGTCGCCGGCGACAACAACGTCGTTAAGGGAATTGAACTGGCGGCCGTAGAAGCCTCCCACGATGAACTCGGCCTTGTTCGGCGATTGTGCGGACATCTGCCATAGACCACCCGTGGTGTTCATAGTGCCTTGGTTGGCCCAGAGGATACCACCATCGTGGTTTACGCCGCCATTGGGCATGGGGATAGTTGAGTTGAGGATCTCGGCGGTGACGGGGTTTGCGGTCACGTTTACCTTTGAGATCTTGATGGTCGTTTCATTGGTAACTGGGTCAGTGAACATGTTGCTGGACACGAACAGTTCATCTGTTGTTGGGACATAGACGCTTGCCTCGTGGGCGAAGGGAAGGTCATTGTTCTCCAAGATGACCTCCAGCTTCGGGGCTGAGCCGAGGATGTTATAAAAGCCATTGTCATACACGGTGAATGCAGACGGAATGGAGGTACTGGCCGGGGAGGCAGCGTGTGTGAGAGAGGTGGTCATCGTGCGTGACTTTCTGTCGTGGGGTGGGTAGAAGTGTCTCGGAGATCTTCATCAGGGGGGACCCGCGACCTTATTTAAGGTTGAATTGAGAGTACCTAGGTGGCTTAGATTGACTGAGATGATGTCAGCAAACAGTGAATCCATGGACCCATGGATCCACTTCCTGCAGATGGACAACCTTACCACCTGCCCAGGTGGGCAAGCCCTCCAGTCCGCGGATAGAAGGTGGGTTAAATAATGGCTTGGCGCTGGGAAATTCGCCGAGATTTCACCTTATAGATCCACTTTTTAAGTTATCATGCATGATTGTTGACCGGGATATATTTAATCTCCCCGGTTTGCGCTGCCTATATCCCCAGGGTACAATGACTTGGAGGACTCAGGGTTCAAACCTCCTTTCGTAGGTGGTTTAGCGCCTGAAGGCAGGAAAATTAAGTTACCAGAATTACTATTACACAGGGCTCACTGTCTATGTTGTAGATGATCTTCTGCCTTGGGGGAATGACTTACTTTCCTTTCAACGACGATGATACTTACCGACCTGAACTGCCTGATCTATGGGAACGGACTCCTTCGTATGCCCCCACCCCTGGTCACCCTGACCGCGAATGGATTCTATACTAATATAGCACGATATCCGGGTTTACCTTGCTTGCCCCCCGGTTATGACCACCGAAATATATTTCTCTGTTTACCTTTTGCCCTGTGAAGCCACTACCTACTTCCTCAATCAAAGACTTGCTCACCATGGCAGTTGACGGAAACCATGTGTCGGAGAAGATCGAACCCTGTGCTCCCAAGATGATCTCATACTGGCGCCTGATTTTTGACCAGAGCATCGTGACCCCGAAATTATTGATTTCCCGTACTCCGGCTCAGGAACAGAAGAGGATCCTTACGCAGTGACATGGATTCCCAACGGTCCTCGCAATCCTATGCTTTTCAACCAGGTTAAAAAATGGACATTTACAATGCTGGTCGCTATTGCCACCTTGGTTGTGACACTCGTCTCATCAGCCTACACCGGAGGCATCGAAGAGATCGAGGAGCAGTTCCACATCGGAAGCGAACTGGCAACGCTTGGTGTGTCATTTTTCGTCCTGGGCTTCGCGGTACGTCAATTTTTCCCAAGTTATGTTGGGCCTATGTGGTCAAGAAGGGCACAACTCTAACATTGTATAGATTGGTCCGTTGCTCTGGGCTCCCTTAAGTGAATTGTTCGGGCGTCAGATTTTTTTCTCCGTGACCTACTGCGCCCTCACGGTTTTCAATGCTGGTGCTGCCGGTGCACAGAATAGCGGGACCCTTATCGCCCTTCGTTTCTTCGCCGGTGCCTTTGGGTCGTCGCCTCTTACTAACGCCGGCGGCCTTATCGCAGATATATTTCCCTCTAAGCAAAGAGGTATTGCCGTGAGTATTTTCGCTGCAGCTCCTTTCCTTAGACCGGTTCTGGGCCCTATTATCGGTGGATTTTTGGGTATGAACGCTGGCTAGAGATGGATTATAGGCTTCCTTGCCGCCTGCTCTGGTGCGGTATGGATTATATGCACTCTTATGATCCCAGAGACCTATGCTCCGGTGCTTCTTCGCCGTCGTGCAGACAAGCTTACTAAGATCACGGGCAATGTCTACAGGAGTAAGATTGAGATTGATCAAGGTAAGGCATCTCTTAAGAATTTATTTAGGGTTGTACTGTTTCGCCCTTAGATTCTATTGTTTCGGGAACCAATTGTATTCCTTTTGTCTCTGTATATGGCCATTATTTATGGTACCTTGTATATGATGTTCGCGGCATTCCCTATTGTCTACTAGGTAGATCGAGGGTGGAATCAGGGTATTGGTGGCCTAGCATTCCTAGGTATTGCGGTTGGTATGTTAGTTGCCACGGTCTACTTTGTGTTCGATAACAAGCGATATATCCAGGTCGAGGAAGCACATGATAGTTTTGCGCCTCCTGAGGCCCGGCTGAGGCCCTGCCTCATTGCTAGCGTGGCAATCCTAATCGGCCTGTTCTGGTTCGTATAGACCAACTATCCATCGATCCACTTTATGGTCAGTCTTGCGGCTGGTGTGCCCTTTGGCTTCGGAATGGTCCTGGTGTTTTTAAGCATTATAAACTACTTGATCGATACCTACACTATTTTCGCTGCATCTGTTCTAGCTGCCAACTCTGTCCTACGTTCTCTCTTCGGTGCCGCATTTCCCCTGTTCACTACCTATATATACAATAAGCTGGGTATCCACTGGGCCTCTTATGTCCCCGCATTCCTAGCTCTCGCCTACGTGCCATTCCCGTTTTTACTGTTCAAGTATAGCCCCACCATTCGCAAAGGCTGCAGATTCGCAGCCCAATCTGATGCTTTCATACGCAAGATTCAAGAGCAAACCAAGGCGTCTTCCAAAATTGAGGAAGAGAAGGAGCAAGAGAGAATTTCGGTTGGACCAAGGCCCTAGCACCGAATGATTCGATCTTGAGCAAGTCCGAATTCAACATCGAAAAGCGTCTGTTCACGGGGCACACCCACAGCTACGCTCATTCCACCACTTCGGCCCACGCGCCACTCAGCTTATCAAGACAACCAGTACGACATTGGCTTTGTCAGCCCGCGAGTCTTCCAAATTTGTGGCCACGACCTCTGCTCCCAACACTCCTTTCCCATGAACATACCACATCATGCAGCAAATATCTGGGTTGGTATACTTACAAAATGCCATTAAGTCTCTTAGATACGCTCGTTTTACATGCATTTTTCTTGTGCCCAATCTTTCCGCATCCACTACGTGTAGGCAGAGTGCGTTTAGCCAATAGAGGTGGTGAAATGGGCTGTTGAACGGCTGTAGGCGTAGGTGATCGAACGCGCTCTATAGCATGTGTAGGAAACTGTAGAACCTGCGAAGCCTCAGCGACTGTCAGGCCACCTTGGTGTGCTATCTGTCAAGTCGATCATGTACCTTTCTGCCGTTTCTTCTAGTTTATAGTGCGTAGATCACTGGCTTCTCTCGGGAGTAGTACTGTGTTATGCAAAGCAAGGTAGTCCCTTCAATGATTCGGTCAAGAATGGGTTTAGTAGGGCTCGGTGGGTTATGCGAAAGTTGCTTAACTATACGCAGGCAGCATGTGGTAACGTTGATCACGATAAAATTTCGACACTTGGACCGGTGCGGTACCAAGTGGGAACCAGTCCGTTCGTTCCAAGCCTACCCTTTTATCACATCCAGATTCATCTAGAGAAGGTGGTAAGCCTTGAAGTCAATACTAAGTATGCTTCTAACTATGCGTTAATTGCAGAGCATTCGGGTGCTCTTCACAGCAAGACACTCTAGTCCTCCCAGTAAATGGGCATACAGCCATCAGTATGGCCATGTGGTGTCAAAGTATTCTCTCGTCGCGTCCTTTAGCCTATTTTGATCGCTTGAAAGTCAGTACTGTGCCCATGAATTCGATTTACATTCTTAGTACATCACACTACCCAGGTATAACAATATGTACAATTCTATGAAACAACCGAGCGATTACCCAATCTTTGGATCACTGATTGTACTGGAAGTGCAGTATCAAGATGATTATCAAAGACCAAGCTTTTTACAACGCATTTCAGGTAACACGAATCAGGTCAAGGTGAGTCAATCTTATAATAACGCTATTATTTCATATTTTTTAAACAATAGAACCAATACTATACTAATATCTCAACCATCGAAAGCATCAAGATAATCACTTATTCTTCTGGGTATACCTTTTCTCTTGTCACGTTGCAGATCGCGAACCAATCGGGAGACAGGTGCAATCATCTCCTGCGGAAGATCCAAAACTAGACGACGAGCCCTTCATCGACGCCGTACCCCTCAACTGGCTTGTTGTTGGTGTCGCAATGGAGCTTTGCCTTGTGGCGGAAGTTCTGGCTGCGCTCTGCGAAAGACCATTGTCCGTTACGCTACACTTGCTACCCACATCAAAACCATCATCTAGGGCGCAGGTAGCGGTGGTGCCTTATTTATTTAAAAAGGAGACAGTGCCATCCTTCTTCACATTGACCCACGCGACTTGTCGTCCGTCTTCTTTGCCACAGATATCAAGCTTGACCGTCTCATTTTTCACCAAAGTACCTTTCATGGCAAAGCCTAGTGAACTTTCAGTATTCTGACAATCAAAACAACGAGCATCATTAAACCTATTTGAACAATCCCTTCCATCGAGACGTGCAAAATCGCAAGTGTCAGAGATGAAGCTTCTGGCTTTATACAAATGAATCTACATCCATTTTTTCGAGTAGTTGACATGTATTAAAATAACCCTTTTGATCTTCATATAAATTGATACATCTCCTTATTCCTAGAGGATTTTGCAAGTCCAAAATTGATAGATGGTCTTCCCACCATGCCAAAATACAGAGATCTCTCGATTTGTATATGATCAAAAGTTTCATTTTTAATATATGTCAACTACTCAAAAAAAAAAAAAGATAGATTCATTTGTATGGGGCCCAAAGCTTCATTTTTGACAGCTGTAGGATTAATAAATTTACCATACACTGTATAGAGAGGTGTAAAAAGCGGTTCTAAATAAGGCATTCTGGCATAAATTCCCACCTACAAAGGGGGGTTTGGACTCTGAGTCCTATAAGTCTTTGTACCCGGGGTAAGTTTCATCGACTTCATGGGACTGTGGTAGAATCTGCCAGTTCCATCATTGCCATGGTCCATAGCATGACGACATCAACAGTTCGACATCACGAGTTTTTGGGCGCGTGGAACTATACATTATACTACAGTCAGTGAAGTGTCTTCAATCGCCGTATGCCTTTGATATGAACACAAATGATAATGGTATTCTAGCATTCAACGCCGCATTGGTAATAGTTGGCTGCATGGTAGTAGCTTGGAAAGACCGAGATGATAGCCCCTCCACATGGGACACGGTGGACAAGTCCAGGGGTTATATTGAGAAGGCAATTTTAGCGCTTGGCCGACTTGATTCCGGGAATCGAGTAATAGCAAGATGCGTTGAATACCTTTCGCAGCTTGTCCTCATCTTGGATACTTTGAGTAAGTTAAACGTTCCCTTCAGGATCGGTGGCAACAGCTTAGTGCAATTACGCTTGCCACTTACAGAAACCATTAATCTTGCAAAGCTAAAATCGGCCAATATATCTTTTGAAATTCACCATGGCTGATGAAGTTTACATACAGCTTCGGATCGATGGCATCCAAGCAACACAGCGGCTTCTAGTATGCTCTCAGAGTACTTCGACGACCTTTTCACATCCGAATACACTGACACATTACCTCTCGCCCATCCGGGGGATTTTGTTATTGATTCGGATCTGGAATTTCTTAGGAACGGTTTCAATGCAGACGCGGAATGAAGCTGGAAGGGTACGGGGAACCTTGACTTTAAATCATTTGTATGACTACGTTGAATCAAATTCTGTATTTGGTAAATTCCATAGAATACATTAGCCAAATTCCACGAAAATCAATGAATTGGACCTCTTTTGTGTTGTAAATCCGATCTTACACCCTTGTACTCTGTCAATCGGCCCATCCGCTCGAACGGAACGGTCCGACACCGCCAGCGGAGTGGCTCCGAGGTACCTTGGTATTTAGACCATACATGATCTTTCCCAAACAATAACCAAGTTACTATATAAATCCAGCATGTTCAAACAACTATCTCGCCTACCATGCCGGTCACGATTGACCCCATTAGCACCCAGTAGCCGACGATATCTCCAAACCAAAATGCAACACTCTCTACCAGCAGCATACTACCGCGGCGGCACCTCCCGCGCAGTCTTCTTCAAGCAAGAAGACCTACCCCCGAACAGAGAAGACTGGGCCCCAATATTCCGCAGTGTAATCGGCAGTCCAGATCCCCATGGCCGACAACTAGACGGACTAGGGGGTGGACTATCCAGCCTCTCAAAGGTCTGCGTAGTCGGGGCATCGACACACGCCGAAGCCGATGTCGATTACACCTTCGTCTCCCTCGGCATTAAGAACACCGACGTCGACTATTCCAGTAATTGCGGGAATATGAGTTCCGCCGTCGGCCCCTTCGCCGTCGATTCACACGTGTTCCCCTTAGAGAACCCCAGCTCGGATTCAACCTCGGTACGCATCCACAACACCAACACAGGCAAGATCATCCGTTCATCCTTCCCTGTTGTTGACGGCGAAGCGGCCACCAGTGGGGACTTTGCTATTGACGGTGTCGCTGGTACTGCTGCCCGTGTCCAGCTCGATTTTATTAACCCCGCCGGCTCGGTTACGGGGAAACTCTTGCCTACCGGCAATGTCGTCGATACCTTTGATGGCATCAAGGCTACATGCATTGATGTGGGCAATCCGTGTGTCTTTGTGCAGGCGGTTGATCTCGACGTGAGTGGGAATTTGACTCCTGATGAGATCACTGCTCGTTCGGATTTGTTGTCGCGCTTGGACTCTATTCGTCGCCAGGCGGGTGTTAAGATGGGTATTGCGGATGAGACTGGAGCGGTTCCCGGTAGTGTTCCTAAGATCTGTATTGTGGCTGCCCCTTCTACTACCGATTCCAGAGATGTTGAGCAGAAACAGACGTCCGCTGATGTTGATCTTTTGGCTCGTGCTCTTTCTGTTGGACAGCCTCATAAGGCGGTTCCGATTACTGTTGCTTTGGCGCTTGCTGCTGCTGCTCGTGTGCCGCAGAGTACAGTGGCTGGTGTTGTGGATGAGAATCCCGTCGACAGTGCTGGTATTACGATCGGGCATGCCAGTGGGAATCTGCTGGTTGGTGCCGATTTCGGTGTAGATGGGGCATTGTCTTCTGCCACGGTCTTTAGTACAGCGCGCCGTTTGTTCGAGGGCCGTATTTTCTGGAAGAATGATACCTGAGCGAGCGAACGGTCTTTGATTAGCGGGAAGACTATGTAGATAACTGGACAGAACAAGTGCCATAAGAGAGGAGGAAAGACCTGATTATATGAAATATCCAAAGCAAAACTTTTATTCTTGTGTATCACAAGTGGTATATCTACATCATCATCTATTCTAATCCCATCTCTAAGCATGTCTCCCGAGATCAATATTAGCAACCAGCTTCATATCATCAGTGCCAGCCCCATCACCCAATCCAAAGAACGGCTTGACAGCAACATCAACCACCTCCTCAAACAAGCGCCCAACAACAGCCTCCTTCAAATTCTCACCAGTCTGCGCGAAATCAGGGTACGCGTTGAGCTCCAGCAGCCACACGTCTCCAGTAGCATCAACGAGGAAATCAACACCGAACAACTCAAACGCATTAGGCAGAGTCTGGAAATGAACCATCATACCCCGAGCCGCGGCCTCAAACACTTCACCTGTCACCGAGCAGATCTGGTCAAAGATCTTCTCCTTCCAGTCTGCACTGAGACCGGGGACGTGATGGTCGAGGTCCCAGAAGCGACGCACACTGCCTTCGTTCGAGCTACCGCCTTCCTGGAAACAGGTGTTGGTCAGATGACGAGCGAGGTCGGCGACGTCATCTACTTCTTCGTGTGGGGCGCAGTAGGCCTTGGCAGCGAAGAGCGCAAGCATCTCCTTGAAGACGTAGACTTTGAGGGAGCCAGAGGCGAGGACGTAGGTGCGGATGTGGAATTTTCGATTCGCAGACGACGGGAGGAGGAGGGGAGGGTCGATGTAGGGCTGTGCGAGGAAGTGGCGGAGCTGGGAAGTGACGATTCCTGTGTCTAAGCCAGCACTGCCGTCGGCTTCTGCGTCGTCGTCGGCGTTCGTCTCAGATCCACTCTCGTCGTCTGAGTCTTCTTCCCACTCCTCGAAGATCTCGCGTAGCTGGTCTTCGCTGTTGAAGATGCGAATTCCCTGACCTCGGTCACTCATACCGGGCTTGAGGATCCACCATTCCTTTTCAGAGTCGGGTCGCTCTTCGTTCTTGGCTAGGCTGTCGTTCAGCTCGTATGCTTCTAGCAGGGCATCGTCGAGGAATTCGGCATAGTCGAGTTCGAAATCGAAGGCGGGCTTGAAGTGGTGTCGTAGGATGCTATCAGGGTGTTTTGAGATCCAATTGGCCACTGTGTTTGAGAGATAGTGCTTGCGAATCAAAGCTTTCCGGATGATGTAGGCGCTTGAAAGAGACGTAGAGGATCTGGACATGATATGATCGAAGTCGAGGCGCTCATATTCGCGGTACTGGAAAAGTGGTGCGGAAGAGTCCGGTAGTTCGGACACAGAAGACACACGCTTGGAGGCACTTCCCAAGCGACGGGTCAATGCCCGGTCAACCATTTCTTGCACGTAGGAGTCATCGCAGTCGACGAGGGAGTACAACGAGGGTTGATTAGCCGATCTACAAGATCTCCATCTATCAGAAAAGGCGCCAATACAAGAAGAAAAGCAGATCAAAGGGGAGGGGACATGGTATCTAACAGCTAAGCCAGATATCTAAAGTGCATGCAACATGTAGATTTCGGATAGAACCCTCCATACCATGCTCCCATCATGTCAAAGTCTTCACTCACAGCTTAATCTCCCCCGAAATACCGGGTGCGAGCATGAAATTTGCCTTGAGAGGCGTGACACTGTGAAAAGTCAGTCGATGTTCATAACCAGAAGGGCATTGGACAAACCTAGTCATTTGCTCCTTGACGGTCCAGCCATCATTACCAGGCTCACTTTCCTCCACGCTTCGGTAAACATCCTGGAAGCTCGGAGCCCACTTGAAATGCTTGTGTTGAATTCGGGGTCCATATGCCGACTTCTCGCTATTACCGACAGTCTGATCCGGTTTCTTTGCTTCCGTCTCGCCTCCGTCGCGCAGCAGCTTTTCTTGCAAGTCGGGGTCGTCTGCAGCCGTAGGGTCGACAGCCTGGAAGCAGCTCCCGGTCCACGTATTCTGCAGCATGTTGGTATATAATACCTTATTCTCACTAACTCCAGGTTCAAGGGGAACATTGACGCTATAGAGGTGTACCTCGTCTGACCAGTTCGCGCAAAGGTGCTCAATCACCTTGACCGAATGGGCTGAGGCCTCTGCGATAATAACAGGGTCATGGTTTCGAGAGCTGAAAGCATACGACAGAGCAATTGACCGCTTGCCACAGCAGGCACCTTCCATCGCCGCGCCAATGGTTCCACTCGACAATGCGAATAGTGCGGTTGTGTTGCGGCCATAATTTGGACCAGACACAATGACATCGATAGGGCCACGTTCTTTGAAGTAGTGATATAGACCGATCTGGACACAGCTTGCGGGAGTGGAGTCGATCAGAACCCATTCGTCGCCTTCGTCGGGTTCACCATCACTGCCCCGGGGCAGATGGTGTATTGTCCCATCTTCTTGGTGGAGCGTTCCGGGACGGAAATAGGTAGGTTTCACGGATGCGCCTACGATGTGCGCTTTACCGATCCATGACCGTTGCTGGTGCGGGAGAATGACTGAGACCGTGTGGCCGGCAGACTGAAGCGAGTGAACGAGCGAATGCACGTACGGCGACGACTGGTTTGACGGAGGACCGTCGTCGTTGGTGACCTAGACAGAGATGAGTCTCCAAATTGACACTGTAAGAACTATATCTACATACCAGGATATGCATTGGGGGTGGGGTGGTTGAGATGTGAAGAATGGAGGGGAAGAAAGTTTCCCCCGCTTTGCGTTGTCGCCATCGGCCCAAATGATCCACAATGCCATTCACACTATATCATAACGACATTACACCATATAGCACCCAACCAGACTAGCTAGACCAATGAAATCACTTTCAATCTGTTTGTGTCAAATGACTCCGCCGTCTCTGTACTCCACGAGCTTCCGCGCTTTCTAGTCCAGAGCCTGCACCACCTTCATTGCCCTCAGCCGGATAACTAGAAAGCAACGTCCTTTCCTGCTCCTCCGGCTCCTCCTTTTTGACCTCGGAAGATTCATCAGAAGTATCCTGTTCCTCGGGATCTTCTTTGATAGAGTCTTCCGGCTCCTCCTTAATCTCATTCTTAGGCTCAGTCCCCAGAACCCAAGTCATCGCCAGCCACGTCAAGCCAGCAGAGAGTATGGAGACAGACCAGAACAGAGAACTGAAAACAATAAAAGAAGTAATCTTCCAGCGATACATAAGCCAGCTGTCAATCTGTTAGCCACATATCAAACATCCCGATCTCCCAAAAAGGACCTACCTAAGCCCCGTAAGCCTAGCACGGAATTCCACCCGAGCCGTATATATCTGCATCTTCAAGTCACTTTGAATCTCCAGTCGCAGGCTCTGCGGTAGATTCTGCACCCCCTTCGCAAACTCAAGCTCTTCCATCATCGGCACCTCCAGCGTCTCCGACTCCCGGTACCAGCCAACAACATAGAGGGGCATACGCGCTGCTCTGCGGGCAACATCCACCAGCGGTGAAGCATAGGTCATGATAGCAGGGCGGCGGGCCTGCGAGATGGGGGCATTATTCGGACCGGGTAGGAGGGATGACGCGGGGCGGGAGGAGAAGAGGGTGAGGTCGAGCATGAAGTTGCCTGTATCGAGGTTCGAGGGTGTGCGCGGAAGCTCGAGAGTCACGGATACGTCGTAGGGCTGGAGAGCCACGAACTCAGAGTCAAAGTTTGCTGTGCCCCAGGGGTTGCCATTGCTATGCGCGAGTTAGTTAAGCTCCGTGCCTGGTTGTGGAGAATGTGATCGTACCCGAATTGTAGATGGACTTCGCGCTGTAGTCCGACCGTGGGGATGAATTTGAAATAGAAGATGCCATAGGCAATTGCGGAGATTCCTATTAGGAACGCTGCGGCGCCCATGAACAGCAGCGTGTTTAGGTATAGCCGTAAGGCGGACTTCGATACCAGCGCGCGAAACGGCGCGAGGACCGCGTCCTGTCTTGCGTCAGTTACAATTGGGAAACGTGCATCAATATACCCACCATGATGACTGCCCTAGCAGAAGATGAGCCATATTCGGACTCTTCTCCAAATTCCGAGTCCGCCATTGTAGAGAGAATAGTTGGCAGAAACAAGCCTGGAAGTTGAGGTCTCTTGAGGCTTATCCTGTTATCGTCGTTATCTGCACCGAGGTCTCCGTCCAACCTTGGAAGCTTCGCCCTACAACTATGTGCATACGATGATATCTACCAATTCCTTTCCCCTTTCTTTAGCATCTGATAGTTGTACGCCTACAAATAGACGAGACCTCTAGGGGTTATTCCCTTATAGATATATCCAGTCTAGGGCGTGAGTCCTAGGAAGTTTGAGTGACAAAGAGATGCGGTTCATTAAACTATATGAAGCCATATGGAGGTTCCAAAAAGAAGCTACAATGATCATAAGAATAGTAAATTAGCATTTCCCCATGCAGATAATGAAGACACCGTCAACTCCAGCTTTTACAGTCTTATCATTACAGGTCGCGGGGAGCATGAGACGCGAAAAAATATCATGGAACCTCAAGTCATGCGGAAATCGTAAGAGAAAAAGGTAAATATGCATGCCATCACCGCGGCTAACCCCTGCCGTAACATGAAACTGAAAAGATAAAATGGAAAAAGGCGCAAAGGAGCAATTGCGGAAGAGAACCCCGTGAAAATTACATGCAACGAAGTACTCCTGTACCGCCCGAGTCACCAGAGAAAGAACTTGAGGAGAGATATATGGAAGGAGAGGAGGTTGAGAAGCCCAGAGAATCTTAGGTGATGGGCCTAGGGCTCTGTTGTTGGATGTGTTGGAGAAGAGCGTCGAAAAGACGGCCGATCTGAGTTGTTAGTATCGCGAGATTGTGAGAAGATTGGTGGTTAGCTTACCTCAGGTGCCGCCTGAATAAAGGGGAGGCGGAAGAATGAGTAGCTCCGGTTCTGGAGGAGCTCCTGCAAGGTGATGATCAGACCCCATGGATGCGGGCGGTGGACAATCAGTCGCT